ATGTTTTACTTGGAGGCGTTTTAAAAATAAAATTTTATTGATAGTTGCTTATTAAAAATTTTTAGTTTTTAAAAAAAATTATCACCGCCATTACTTTCGCCGGAGACTGTACCATTTAAAAAAGATTCTAGAAAAAAAGTTTGTCTCAAATTTTTTTTTCATGGATTCTTTAAATTTGAGTTAAAAATTCCAATAATTTCCGTGTTACAATATTTTCTTTTGATGTAATATGTTCGTTAAACATTTTTATTGTAAAGAATTTTTATTATTAACAAAAAAAGGAAATAAATAATATAAATCAATTTATGTTATAGAAAATATTCTACGAAAAAAATTGTTACAAGAAATTTACTAATCTCCATTTCTTAAGTGTATAATAATAACAAAATTGGAATTTTCAAAATGCCAATTTTTAATTTAAGAAAAAGCTAGCCAATAAGTTTGAAGCTTGAGTCATGAACAACAAAACTTATCAGTTAACTTTTTTAAAATGATATAAAAAATTTTTGCTTTGACATTTTGAAGCTGACCAATTGTTACTATATATAAACAATTAATTGATTATATTAATCAATATGTGTTTTTTTATATTTAAAGACATCATTTAGGATAATAAATAAGTAAAATATCAACTTGTATTTTTATAATAATTAAAGTGCCTGTCACAGAAAACATGTTTTATTTTAAGTGAATCACTCGTGGAGACAATATCTTTTATTAAAATGGGTTTTTTTTTTACTTCAAAGACAAGATATTGTTTATGGTTTAAATTTTGTTGGTACTTTTATATAGTACTTTATAAAGGGTAAAAAGCATGGACTTTACAACACCCATAATTGATTTCTTTCACAATAACAGTAAATAATTTCGCCACTCGTAATTAATTTCGTAATTACGTTTTTGGCAAAAGAATTGCCACCTCATGTATAAATAAAACTCTATAACAAATAAATTTTGACGAAATCTCTTCATTACATTAACTAATAAGGTTATTTTTTTAAAAGGTAAAACAGAAGAAAGTAATTTCTATACTTTAAAATTTGCGCAAAATTTAGAGGGTCCTTGGACTGAACCAACTATACTCATTTTACTTTTCCCCATCCTATGACCTCAGCATTAATGGGTTATATCCAGTCATGAAGGTTCTCACTCCTAATTCAAGAGAAATCATACCACCCCTATTCTCTTCAACACAAAAATTTAGGAGCTTGATTGTCAACCCTGATTTCAAGTGGCACATAACTAAAACTTTACCATCATGATTAATGGTAAGATGAAATACATAAAAAAATTTTTTTTTTTTTGCACGATTTAATATCATTGAGAATAAAAATTTACCTCTTTTTCTCTCTCATTTTCTTGATGGAATGACAATTGACTACATCTTGACTTTTTTAGATCTAAACTCCAATTTGAAAATTTCGAAATCTTTTAATTATTGACTTTTTTAGAAAAGCAAAATTTTAAAAATATAGTAAACTTTAAAAATAATGGTCAGTTGATAGCTTTACTTAATATGACGAAATTTTAATTTATGTCTTTATGCGGATTTTGAGTTTGAGGATTTGCGATGATTGATATTAGAAATTTTCTTTTCAAAAATAATCGAATTTTTATATACGGCCGCCTCTCTATTTGCATACCGTATGATCTGCTTATTGCATAGATAGCTTGGTCCATATTGATATTTGCATAATGTAATCAAGCATGCATATGATACTGGTCTGATTCTATCAACGTTATATTAGTATGTGCATTATTATTTAGGAAAAGATTTGCAAGTGATTTAAAAATATTCAGTTAATATAGTATTAGTATAGTTGGCTCGATCAAGTAGAGTTAATTTCTGTCCTACATTGGTTGATATAATAGGTCTTTATTTATATTATAATGTCAAAAAATTTATTTGTTGTAGTCTATCACTATTACTATAATTTTTGAGCGCTAGCCATTGTCAAATTTAGATTAGTGTGTAAAAATCATTAATAAATTTTGCAATAAGAATATCACGTGAAGTCCGTTTTTGGAAATACCCTTTAAAAATTTTTATTGCATTTTCGAACAAATCAAGAAATAGCTATTTTTGAAATTTGAGCGATAGGGGTCTTTAGTATAGTCTTTTTCATAGTACATTATTTAGTTTTTTAAGCTCACCTGAACACTCCAGATTGCTTTTTTAATAACGCAGTTCGTTGCTTAACGTAATCTTTTCATTATTAAATGTATAAATGTAATAGTAATAAAGTTCAAAGATTGTAATTTTTATAATCAAGCCATATATGTATAATACGCGTCACATGATTATATATTGAGTAACCACGTGATGGCAGTAATCCTTTTAAGTGTGTAACACGATAATTTTTTTACAATAATCTTTGACCAATTCTGTGTAAAGAGTTAAAAGAAAGATGCCTTGACAGTTTAAGAAAAATGATTTACAAAGGTTTATTTTAATTAAAATAATATGGCGTGAATTTTATTTATAAAATGTAGAAATGCACCCCGCAGATCATTAATTAAACTCGCCTAGAAAATATAAGCGCACGGCTTATATAATATTAGTTATATGTTATATAATCAATTAATTATTAATATTATTAATATTATTAATTAAAATGATTATTTTTCATTTCTTCCCATTTTTCTATCTTTGGTTGTATTTACCTCATTCCTTCCTTCTCCTCATTCATTCATTTTTTTTTTCTTGTTAACATCAATTTCCAATCATTTAGATTATTAATTGTAACAATGGGGGCAAAACCTTCATCACTAGGAAAACGAAAAAATAAAGAAAAAGCAGTCACAAATTCAAATCAGCAATCATCATCAGAAACGATGATATCTTATTATGAAAATCGTAAATATTTAGTTTGCACAGAAGAAATCACTGATATTCTTCCAGTTGATGATGATGATGAATTCGCAAGAACAAACACAATTCATTTCTTGCACAAAAAAATTTGGGATGAAACTAATTTTTCAGCACCGATTACAAAACAATTGGAGAATGGATATGGTTTTGATGTGCTGGATGTTGGGTGAGTTTAAATAAAAATTTATTTTTTTATGTAATTAATTAATTAATTGAATCATTATTAATTAGTGATTTTTTATTTCAAAGTTGTGGAAGTGGCACATGGACATTAGATATGGCTACAACATACCCAAATGCTAATTTTTTGGCTGTTGATATTCTTCAAACATTTCCAAATGAAATTAGACCTAATAATGTAAATTTTTTGCTGGGAAATATAATCACTGGATTAAATATTAAATCAAATACATTTGATTATGTGTTTATGAGATATATGAAAACCTCCATACAAATAAATGATTGGTCAAAAGCTATAGGTGAAATGATAAGGGTGGCAAAACCAAATGGATGGTTAGAATTAATAGAAATGGATGATATGTTCACAAATGGATCTCCTGAATGCTTGGAGCTTATGGATAAAGGTATTTTTCATTTTTATGAATATATCCATAATAAATCTTAAACTTAATTTATATTTAATTTATAAAATTTTTTTTCCCAGTTGAAAAAAGATTAAAAAATAAATATAACCTAACCAACAGCCCATTTAAACTCATAAATAATATCTTGTTAAAAGAATATTTTAACATTATAACTGATGTACAATTTTTTAAAAAAACAATCCCAATGTCAGGACATTGGGATAATGATTCAGATAATATCATTGCTAAAGTTTCTTATGATACTGCATATTGGGGAAGTAAGAGTTATAAACATTCACTTGATTGTTTAGATTTAACTCATGATGAATATGATAAATATGTTGAAAAGGCCTTTGAAAGTATTAAAAATCGTAGATGCACATATTCACTTTGCAGATCAATTGCAAGAAAAATTTAAAAAAAATAATCATTAAATTATATGCAACTATTAATTTATTAATATTAACTAATAATTTTATATGTAACTATAATTAAATTCATTATTTTTTATAGAGGAAAAAAAAATTAGTAAATTTTCATCAAAAAATATCACTATGTTTAACTATTGATCAGAATGTTACATAAACATTTTGGGCTCAATCATAACTATAATGAGCAGAGCATCGATACTACATTATCACAAACAAGTAAATCACAAGCTCATGACATGTCCAATAAGTATAATGAAATGATAAATAACCAAATAATTATATAGTTATTCTTCCCTAGCATACAGCTCAAGGATTTCAATCTAGTTCCAATAATAACAATGCAGTAGGTCGCAGTATATATATACTGCGACCTACTTGCGTTAGACTGTTACATACTTATGACTAGACTGTTACATACTTATGACTAAACTGTTACCTACTCATTTATGGGTACCCGTTTTGGCGTCTAGTTGGCTTGATATTTGTTTCCTTTTGATGAGGTTTTTGGCTTTTTTTGGTCCTTTGATTGCTTTCGTCACCCGAGGCTGAGGCACGAAGTTCCGATTGTGAGGGCTATGCCCGAACTGGATGCAAAGCATCCTGGCCAATTTCTGTCGTCAGGCCACATTCCCATTTTATCATAACACTGGTAAAGTTTGTGGTAAACCTTGTATGCGACCTGAAGGTTGTAATACTCATTGGAAAGCAAAAAAGACGAGTTCCATGCACTGATTGTGGCAAGCCTACTAGCTCAACTTCTGGCCACATGTCGAAAAAATCAGTCTCTGCGATTTCAGTCTCCGCCATGTAACATTTGTGGCCATCGTCCACATGTGTGGACGGTCATCTATAAGTATCACTCCAGGAAAATGCTTTAGAGATGGTTTCTGATATGCGAAAAAGTTATTGACTGGAATTTTTCGGTTAGATTTAGGTGTATATCAGGAACTTGATCTGAGCCGTTTTATCCAAGGACATTTTTTCAGGAAAATGCTTATTTTTGCTTTTATGATGAGGGATGAGGCACGTAGTGCCGAATTGGCAATCTGTATTTTGGCTTTGCATGTCACATTTGAGTTCGAGGATGAGGCACGAAGTGCCGAAATAGTGTCCATGATCTGGCTTTGCATGTCACATTCAAATTCGAGGATGAGGCACGAAGTGCCGAAATAGTATTCATGATCTGGCTTTGCATGATGCATTCGATTACTGATCGAGGGTGAGGCACAAAGTGCCGAATTGTTATCTCACTTGGTAGTACGCCAAAGCATAATTTCTATAATATATATTTCTATAATAATTATACCTTGACGTACTACCACGAGTATGCTATGTTTTGGGTCTCTGGAAGCCTTTCTCGTGTAGTTGGTGCTTTGGAGTATTACCTCTCCATGTAAAAAATCATCCTATGCTTTGTCGTTTTACTATCGAAAAATTGGATCATACTTTTACGTACTACTGAATCAAAAAATTGGATACCTTTGCGTATTACTGGATCAAAAATTTTGATCTTTGGTGTACTACCGAAAAATTTCACGCTTTTGCGCCATAATTCCATCACATGAATTTTTACTTAAAGTTTTGAATTCTCTATATATGTAATTTATACCTCTTTGTTCCACACACTTACCTAGTTATAAAGAGTCTATAACATGCATTCGTATAATCCACTTCTGCTTCCGGATACGATCACAATAATCGTTCAAAAACTCCCATTGGTTAGTCTTAGCATAGCTTTATGCATTAATCATATTTGGAATAAGGAAGTGAAACTTGAATTGCATATGAGGCACGAAAAGTTTAAAAATCAATATTGGAAAACAGTGTCAGTAAGATATATGGAGATACAGCTTAAAGAACAATGTTGGGAAGAAGAGGGTAGGCGATTTAACGACTGCATGGATACTGATGACTATAAAAAACACAACGACAAAATGAGATTTTTAGATGGGAAATGTAATGAATCCTTCTATAAACTAGTAGAAGTAGAAGGATGCATGTTACGAAATAAATTAATCAGAAAAAGAGAAAGAGGTGATGTATTAAATCGTATTAATCATGTTAATAAGAGTGGGTGGTTGCATCCCTGGTCGGAATATGAAATAGAGGAAATGATTAATCCTATAGATTACGAACTTAATATACTTTTCAATGAGACAGAGGTTTGAAGTTCATTGTAGAATCAAAACTTTTTAGATTCAAATAGGTAATAAATTCTCAGCTACTTGATTCACGTATAATCCTGGTTACTATCAAAAAATACTATCAAAAAATGGTTCTTACTTTGATGTACCACCATATTGAATTTTTTCATGCTTTTATTTTCTGTATACAAAGCTATTTACTCAACACAAAACCTTCATTAGAATTCACATTTAAAATTGTCTGAGTTGACTAGATTATATTAGCTAATTATGGAAGAAGTTTCTCAAGGAATATACATACCTGCACGTGGCCCTCCGGAAATAAAACAAGTTAATGTTAAAAAAGGAGACATTTTTAAGATACTGCAAAGTGATTATAGTGATCATGTAACAATTTTCAGACCAAAAGGCTTTGATTTGATTTTATTTTGTGACGATGATGGTCAGAGCAAAGGCCTATCTGTAAATCCACTAGCAACTCGTTTGATAAGTCAACGAATAGGGCAAGATGGAGTAACTATTCCAGGACCTGCTTTATTATTAGACAATTATAGAAAAATAACTCTTGATGATCTCCACTTTTTGTTGAAGGAACCATTTGATATAGAGGAGGAAAAAAAAGCTGTAAAAAAGATGAATGATGTGCTTAAGGATCTAAAATTGTGTGGCTTAAAACACACTATAATAATGTAATATACATATTAATGATACAATAGAGTATGAGCTGTATCTTTTTTCCTTGCATCTCGTATAGGCTTAATTACCACGAACCATATAACTGCAAGTATCAAAAAAGCAAGAATCGCATACATAAACATAGGTGAAAACAAATTACTGGCCATGATAGGTACTGCCCCAACATCCAGAAAGAAAAGAAAATTCCAAGAAAAAGAAGATACTTGTCAAGGCAAGCCTAGGGGCACAAAAACACGAAAGAGTTATCCATCATTCCAATCTCCGATGAACCGTTAATCAACACATCTTCCGAAGATGCCAATATGGAAGACATATCTAATCAATTTCATAAATTGTATTTTGATATTGACGTAGTTAAGTTAAAGAAAAACTTTTGAAAGATCTCAGTCAGGCTATTGTACACAAAAGAACGATAAGATCTGGCAGGTTAAATCCTTTACTTCATCTAGTTTTTCAGATTTGACAAGAAATGAGGTTAAGTATATCATGGAAAACTTCCCATCCCATGAATAGAATATTTGACACTCACCTTCGCTTTACTGTATAATTTTTTAATAAATATATCATATATAATCAACATGTAGATCCACTGTGTATGTCATATGATATCGTTCTGGCCCAGAACACCTGCTATTCATAAATAATAATAATAAGTTCACATATCTATATTTTTTGCTTGATTAAACATAATTATCCAGATCCATACTGACATCTGTATCTTTGAGGAGCATTCTAACTTCTTTGATATAGTCTCATCAATATACCCCATCCTCTTTAGATATAATAGCATTGCCACTCACGGAGTGAGGCTACTCTGTAGCTAAATTTTGGAACTCGCACAATTTTTTGTTGCGTGAGATCTGAGCATGTCAATTCCATAGATTCAAGTCTTTCATTTTAATCCATAACCTTGATCTTCTGCAACATGTATACAATATAGTACTTACCTCCTATGTATTCTTTGACCATTTTCTTCACAAAAATCAGAGGGAAATCCGTAAATATATTCTACAGGATCTTTCTTAAACACAGGCATGAAATAGTTGATGTAAAGAAATTTGTTTGCACAGCCCCATTAATGTATGATGTTGTTGTCACACAACAGATTTTCCCGATTAGATTAATATTAATATTAACTACCAATTTACCTGTAAAAGAAACGCCATGGCCACTCCCACTACAATAACAGAAAAAGATGTTCTCCCACTACCTGACGAAATTAAAGAGATGAAGAAGAGTGAACTTATTGAATTTTTACGAAGACAGGAAGAGCTAGAACTCGACGAGGAGGAACTTGAAATACTTGAAAAAGAAAAGGTTACTGGTCGACACTTTCTCCTTCTGACTAAAAAAGATCTTCTAAAAGTGTTTAATCTAGGAACAGCCGTAACAATTGCAGACTTTATTGATGAACTCAAAAAACGTAAGTGTATTTTAAATTCTGGGTGCAGATCTTCACAGATATATAAATTTTACTAAAGGGTTGATGTAGCTAGATCTACCGGGCTTGTACATGTGTTTGTTGACAATTCCAATCTCTTTATTGAGGGAAAATTTAATATTGGCCAACTTGAGTGTATTTTTGATGTAGAAAAAAATTTGTACCATATTAATCAGCTTCATATCAAATACGGACAACTTCTTGCATTAGTTCAAGATGGATGTGGCCTTGGTGGTGCACCTGTTCTCGTTGGTTCTCGTCCGCCCCCAAATGACTCACTATGGAAACACATTCGAAAACAAGGATATGATGTAACAGTGCATGCTCGGAATGCTGAAAACCGTGAGAAGAAGGTTGATGTGGAAATTAGTGTCTCCATAATGGATACCATTCAAAATTATAATCCTGGTATATTAGTGCTAATTGCTGGTGATGGCGACTATATGTTCCAGCAATAAATCAAGTTTTGAATAAAGGGTGGGCAGTTGAGATATGGTTCTGGAGTTCTGGTATGGAAATATTGTTGTGTTTGAAGTCACATGGGTTGTCCAAGTGCATACTCAAAATAACTTGCCTTTAGGAATTTCTAATGATCTTATATCAAAAGTGCTTTTCAAACCTTTGGATATTTGTTACAAGTCTTTCTCATGTGGCTACAGACCTGAACCTACTGGGAAAAAACAAGTTCTTGAAATCACTGATGGTAATATGATTCGGGGTTGGGGCGACAAAGAGGTGATGGAGTGTTTTACAGCTTTGAACTTATTCTGTTGGTGGAACTGGTTAGATGAAACCTTGTGTTTATATTTTGATAATCAGTGGCAGTTGGAGTGGGCAAAGCATTGGATGGAGGTTAACCATCCTGACTTACGTGTTTGGGAGAAAAAAGAAATAAAAAGAAGAAGTTGGACATAATTCCAGCTGTAAAACAATTAGTTGGGAATGTTGTCGCAATATAAATCTTTGCATGTATTCTCTCCATGTGCAGTTCTAATATTTACACATGATGTCATTGCTTTATTAATAAATAAAAATATATACTCCACAGGGCAAATTACATCAAGTACATAATGATATTTTTTTACATGTGTTGGGATTGTTGTGGGATTTCACTATATAATAAAATTAATTATTCCTGAAAATTATATATAAAAAATTAACAATTATTATTAAAATAAATATAGGGTTTTATCATTGTCCTTATATTCATAGAACTGGTAAAGTTTGTGATCAAGGTAGCTATCGTCCAGAAGGGTGTAAACTTCATTGGAATTCTCCGACATGGATCCCTTGCAAAGAATGTGGTAAGCTGACTTATTCTACATACATATGTATAGCATGTAAAAATCATGTGAGTATCAAAAAAGAGAGTATTATCATAAGCAAAAAGCTGAATTACGTGCAAATATTGATATGCTTGAGAATTGTGTACTGGACTTGCCAGGTTCTAGGCACGAACTATAGTCTAGGTTTATTACTTTTTCATCCATGGATAAGGCAGTCATATCTCCTGAGATCTATAAATGAAGGATCGGGTAATTAATTTCAATTTGAAAGAATAAGTAGGTCAATAGATAATCACAATCTACTTGTCAAATATATTATCAATATGATCATGGCAACTGCTTCAAAAACCCGAAAGCCCAGAACTAATAACTTTACCTTGATTTTGGACCTGTTCCAAGAAAAATATAACTTGTCTGCCGAATCCAACCCATCTCAATTACATGACTATGCCAGTGAACTCGGTGCTATGCTTCCAAATTGGAAAGCCTGCAAAAGTGTAAAAGAAGCTCTTCGCCGACACTCATTCAAAGAAGACCAGATCAAGGCTCTTGTACCAGATAAAAGGAATGAAAAACTTACTATCAAAGAGAGAGCTCAATACTGTGCAAAAACTGGATATCCATATGATATTTACTTACATGCTTTAGATTTAATCAAGACAAAAAATGATAGTGATGAAGAAATTGTCGCATCCAGCTCACGTCTTACATTATTTCGTAAGGAATTGAAAGAAGCTGGAGTTGATTCTAAAGTAATTGATAAATATGCTAAATTTTCAGATCTTACTCAAGCATCTAACGAAATTCAGAAGAAGCAACTTGTACAGCGATTACCCAATGCTCCTAAAACCCCTAAACACTTCTCCTTAGAGGAGGGACTTAGAAGAATTCAAAATATTGATACTACTAAAATTCCCACTATGCAGGATCTTGCGGATGTGATTATGATGTTAAGCATGAGACCCGCTGAAGTTACTACTCTTCATATTATCCATTATGAAGAAGCCAAGCTTCGAGTCTCTGACTCACCCAATGAAGAAGCCAAGCTTCAAGTTCCTGACTCACCAGACCCTCCGGAATGGTACAAACCCGGTTATTATTGGTATTGTACAGGATATGTTAAGAATAAGGGAGAAAAGAAGGTTGATCCTGAGCCTCGACAATTCCTTTCCATGGAAAAGAATCCAGAACGTGCAAGAGAATTGCTTACTTGGATTCAAGATGCCATAGCAACCAGAAAGTTACATGATCCTGTATATAGTGATAATGGAAAACGCAATATTAGAGCATTTAGCAAATTTTTAAATGCATATGGTATTACTGCCAAAAGATTGAGAAAAATAGGGAGTAAACATGCTTCCAGAGTTCATGGTAGTCAAAATCCAACGGCCCAACATCTTAGTTTACTTTGTAGAATTGCAATGAGACATAAGATTGACCATTTTGATTCTGGAACTTATTATGCTGAGGGTGACACTTCTTCTGATTCTGATACCAATCCTGATACTAATACTGAACCCGAACCTAAATCTCAGCCTAAGAATAATAATCCTTTTGATGTCCAAATCGCAGAAATAGATTCTATGTTAGCAGAAATGTGAAGTTAGACTATTAGTATTGGTTCCAGTGGAATCTCTTTTCAAGATGGGATAGAACTTGCCTTAAAAGTTCATCTGATGGGGTGCTTGTCCCAGAATTTGTTCGCAAATTATAATGCACACGTGATTTTCATCCATATATTATACTAGATAAATGTTTGATTTTTTACCGAGAAATCATGCTTTGCATCATATCCATACCAAGTCATTCTACGCTTTCACAGTTACTATTTGGATTGAATTCTGACAAGCCCCCAACATTTGAGATGATAAGTTTCTGTATTGACATAATCACCACTACCCCATTGTCTCAGGGCCCTAAATGGAAACAAGTAAAAGTTACTGATATTTTTGTTGTTAGTATTCCTGAACATGTACTGATGTTAGGGAACTCATGGTTTAAAGATAATGCAATGAAAGTGGAATTCCCAAATAAAACTCTTACATTGCTCGATGGAACTAGTTATGAGGTTAAGTGTAATTGAGAATATCCAGAAAATCCATAGTATATATGCCTAAAATTAATTATCCGAACATTAGCTGTTTTTTCCGATTAAAGATATAGAATATATATTCTTGAGAATGGTGCAACTATTGCAAAGCAATGACCAAAAGGGTCTAAATATTTTTGATTTACCAGAATTGCTAGAACAGATCTTATATTTTTTAAAAATCGATCGATCCCTCTATCCTGCTTTATTCGTCAACCACCTTTGGTATCACTGTGGTGCTCCTATTCTATGGCGAGATATTGATTTTTTCATAGATTGTCAAGGAAACACATATAATAACAATTCATCTGG